CAGGATAAAAAGGGAAGCCACAGATTGGGAAAAAATATTTGGTAATAACATGTCAGATAAGGGACTTACATCTAGAATTTATAATATATTCAAGCACCACAATAAGATAAATAACTGAATTGAAAAATGGGCACAGGATATGAACAGACACTTCACCAAAAAATACATACAGATGGCCAACAAGCACATGAAGAAATGTTCAAAACACCTAGCTCTAAGAGAGATGCAAATCAAGACAACTATGAGATATTATCTCACCCCAGTAAGAATAGCAAAATTTATCAGAACAGCAAACATCAAATGTTGGAGAGGTTGCAGAGAAACTGGAACCCTTCTTCACTGTTGGTGGAAGTGTAAAGTGGTACAACCATTATGGAAGGCTGCATGGCACTTTCTCAAAAAGTTGCAGATTGAAATACCATTTGGCCCAGCAATTCCACTACTGGGAATACAACCTAAAGAAACCATAACCGCCACCCAGGCAGATATATGCACACCCATGTTTATTGCAGCATTGTTCACAATAGTCAAGAGTTTGAAACAACCTAAGTGCCCATCAACAAATGAATGGAAAGAGAAGCTCTGGTATATGATGGAATACTACTCTGCATTGTAAAACATGAAATATGCAAAATGGGTGACCCTGAAGGATATTTTGCTGAGTAAAATATTTCAGTCACAAAAGGACAAATACTACATAGTGCCACTGTTGTAAAACGGGACTGACATCGGGGTTGGGAGGAGACTGAGAAAGATGGAACAAATTATGTTTACTGCATTGAAACAGATGAGGGCGAGAACTGTTTAAAAGGGATATATGATTAGGTATTATTGTCATGGCAGGTATCCAGAATGAAGGCTGCATAGTGGAGTGGACATGGTGGCGGGGGAGGGATTTTATAACAATGAAAGAATTTTTCTTTTACTTTTCAAAACGAAGGCTGCATAGTGGAGTGGATTTTGGGGGAGCGATTTTATAACAAGGAAAGATTATTTCTTTTACTTTTCAAGAGAAGAGCTAACCGGGGGGAGGTTTGGCAGGGAGAAAAGTGCAAAAGTGTTTGAATGGAAATCCAAAGTCTCTGTAAACTTTCATTAAAATTAGTAAAAACAAACAAACAAACAAGAAAACAAAAAATATTTTGCTTATTTGGGGTCTCTTTTCTCTCCAAATAATCTTGACAATTTCCCTTTTGATCTCTTTGGAAGAAGAGTTTGCTAGCTGTATTGAGATTGTGTTGAACATGTAGACTGCTTTTTCAATTTAAGTGGCACAGATTAGGAAAACAGATGCTTAGAGGACTAAGCAGAGCATTTACCATAAGTTTTATTTTCTATATTCATGATCAGCTTCTCTGACATTCATGTCCATTCTCTTTAAATGTACGAGTGCTGCTCTACATCTCTAGTTTCCAAGTCTGTAGGGAGTTGTGTAGTTATACCAAAAGTCTCAGTTATTTAGAGGTTCAAATCCACCAGTAATTTTCTCCTCTGTGTTGGAAAGTTGGCCATGAATTGGTTCTGACTCCATAGCAATGAATTGGAGGTTTTTTTTTTACTGCTCTGCATTTACTTCACCCAAGATGAGAGATCAGAGCTACACATTGTGTTGGGGTTTAAAATAGATGCCGGGAGAAACGCAAACTCCTAGATAAAAAGAATCTGACTCAAATCTTAAGGGGTTTGCATAATTCAGCTGTCTCTTGGGGACAAGTTATAGTGAAATAACTGGAGTATTCTGGATGTTAACCTTGAACCAGAGATAACCTGTTCATATATGAACAAGGAGGAAGTTCCCACTTACTTTGTCTCAAAGACTCCAACCACCCTTATTCTTCACCTATAACATGTAGACAGACAAAGCAATTGGTTTAGGAGAGTAAACAGAGGTATCACCAATTAAAAAAAGTATCATGTTTTAATGTAAGGAGTTCTTCCTTTTACTGAATCAGGAAGGTCTTATGGGTTCAGATGTCTGTGCTCAGGCATGTGGGGAAAGTGAGTCATCAGTGCACAACTCACCCACATTGGTTAAGAAAGAGAAAACCTAAAGTCTATTCAAAATAACAACATCTAAAAGTAAAATCTATGCATTGAACACACACATTTTTATGGCATCTAAACAAGAAGACTGATGGTCACAAGGACTTGTATTCTTCTCATTATGATAAGTAGAATTTCTATAACTTTTCTTTAAGTACTCAGAGAAACTGCCATTCAATACCAGAGGAGTCCTTGTAACCCTTTGCTTCAGTTAGGCAGTTATCACTTTTTATTTCACAAATGCAAAAGAAACACCAAAATTGCTTTGCCACATTGTGTAGAACATTTGTGGCCAAAGGACTAAAAACAAAGATATTATTGATTTTCAGTTTTGAACTTTTTTATCATTTTCTTCAACAAAAATAATGGTTGTAGATTATCATTCAACATTATTACATCTGTGTTTAAAATGCCTAGAAATTATCCTCAATGGAATGGGTCAGCACAGTAACTCCAGCACTGGGCTTGAGCTTATGGAGTGTGAGGATGGCACAGGATTAGACAAAGCTCCCAAATGTTGTTCAAAGGGTTGCAGTTGACTCAAAAGAGACTAACAACAACAACAACATTGTATTGCTCGGAATTTTCTAGTATTTTACAACATAGGAAATCTGAATACATGTGCACAGGATATGAATAGACACTTCACCAAAGAAGACATTCAAATGGAAAACATCAAGAAATGTTCAAAATCCCTCACTCTCAGGAAGATTCAAATAAAAACAACAATGAATGAAAATCTAACTTTTCTGTAAACTTTTGTTAAAATCATAAAAAAAAATTTAGAAACATGAAATCTGAATTTTTTAACAAAGCAAACTCTTTCACAAACTAGTAAAACTAGTAAACTAGTTCTTTAGTCTGGTAATTGGTCAATTCCATATCTCATAACAACGTTGAAGTTTTAAATAACAATGCTAGTTTGGTATTTAAATGCATTATACCTTGCAATTAAAAGAACTAGAAACCTGTGTTTCAAAATAGTGCTAATAATTTAACAAAACAAGTATACTTTGGAGATATTGCATGTTCAGTTCTAGACTACCCAATAAAGTAAATTATCTTCACCACTGGGCCAATAGGCTGTATCATGATAGATGGAGAAAAGATTTAAGTTGCTAATGACTTTTTTTTTTCTTTGTTGGATCTGTAATCAATATCTTCAGCACTAGCACTATGGACATAAAAAGATAATCTGTTGTCAAGGACCTCCCCAGCGTGCTAAAGAGCAATAATATCAATCTAAAGACTAAGATGCACTTGATTCAAGTCATGGTCTTCTCAATTGCTTGGTATGCACCTGAAAGCTGGACAATGAATAAAGATGACAAAACAAGTACTAAATATCCTATGGACTGCCAAGAGAATAAACAGGCCTATCCTGGAAATGGGGGAAATTAGGTTGCTCCTTGGAGCAAAGATTTTGAAACTTCATCTCACATACTTTTAGCATGTTGTCAGAAGGGGCCAGTTCTTGGAGAGGAAGATCATGCTTGGAAGGATATAAGGTCAGCACAAGACTAGAAGACCTTGGATGAGATAGATTGACACAGTGACTGTGGCAACGGGGATGGTGGAGATGGTGAGGTGGATGTGAGCTACCAGAGAAGTGTGTGCTTAGATTCGTATCACAACTCTCTATGGACTATGCCGCCAGAATCGCAGGTAATTTGACTTAACAATAAGAACAAGCAGACTGTAATTTCCCCTGGGTTCCTGAATTTCCATTAGTCTCTCCTAATCAAGCAATCAGTTTCTATTTTTAGAACCTAAGGAACTGCATAATAAGGCTGACAAAAAGCATTAACACCTTTGAACTATGGTGTGGGAGAAGAGCTCTGAACATCCCATAGACAGCCAGGAGAACACATAAGTATGTCTTGGAGATGGTGCAGCCAGAGTGCTCTTTGGGGGCAAGAATGATGAGGTTTCACCTCACATATTTTGGACATGTTGCTAGGAGGTGCTATTCCCTGAAGAGGGATATGATGTTGGGAAGGATAGAGGGCTGGCGAAGGAGAAAAAGACCCTCAGCCAGGTGGACTGACATAATGCAATGAACTCTTGTCAGGAAGTTTGGGGATGGCGCAGGACAGGACTGTTGCTGAGTCATACTTGACTAGGCAGCACCTAACAACAACAAGGCAGCATAGTGGCTCAGAAGTCACAGGCGTGGTCAAAATCAGTTCTTTGTTTAAACAGGAAGGCAGTTCCTTGCTCCTACTGTTTTTCATAATTGGGGGAAACCCAGTGAGAGCTCTTCTTGATATTTCTAACTTGAAGTCCATCTTGTTCCATGCTGGCAACTCAGAAGCCTCTGACTTGGGGAGATTAGCTTTAAGTTCTTCCAACTATATCAACTGCAAAATATAGTGGGAGATTTCAGAAAGAAATATATGCTAAGGAGGTCTGAAGGAACAGTGGTTTAGTGCTTGATTTCTAATGAATAGGTCAGTAGTTGTTCTGTGGGATACAGATGTGGTAGTCTGCATCCATAAAGATTCCACTGCTGTAGAGTTAATTCACTGAGATCTTCCTTTGAATTTCAAGGCTTTACATCATTATAAGAAGTGACTGCCTATCTTTCTCTTACAGAAAACACTGTCAACCTTCTGTTTAGTTACTGATACATTACCCAAATCCTACTGAGTTCTCTGACTTACAAGGGTCACTATGAGTCAGAATTGAATAGGTTTTCCACAGGTCTGAAAGGTATACAATTTTACTTTTATTATAAATTAAATATTGAGAACAATTAAATTGCTCCATTTTCTAACAATTATGGTGTGGGGAGTTTTGGAGGGATTTTTTTGGAATGTACTAGTGAACAGAAACAGGTTGGACTGGATTTTGTTATAATGAATTGAGATAGTAAGATACATCCACAAAATTCCCTTTATTCTTTACTCAAGCTTCTAGATATAAATATATTTGTGTATATTCACATTATCTTTTACCTTGTTCATTAAAAGTCTTAAAAAATCATTTTCTTCATATTCATCTAGTTTCTCTGATAATTCCTTAATGATACTTTCTTTCTCCTTCAGTTTTTTTGACAAAACATTAATTTTTACAGCATTTGAGTCCTGTAGAAAAGTTTTTCCTTCTTCCACATCAAAAAATTTCTAGAGAGAAAAAGACAACATTGAAAGTCAGATATTTTGAGCAGGCACCATCAGAAATCACCTAATGCTTTCTCTAAATTGTTGTTTTCTAAAGTTGCTTTTGCAACTTACATATTCTTTTAAGTTAAAAATATGGATATATTGAAAGAAATGCTAAAATATGCAACTTAGCAGGATATGTTATCTTATGAAACATAAAACATATTAACTATGTCAGCCATGCAAATAATGGTAGTACTACATAAATTGACATTATGATGTATGGATCATAGAAATTAACTTATCATTTATGAATGTCCAATATCAAGCCCTCTCAAAATGGAGCAATGTTTTTGAATATGTGAAAAAATGTATGGTAACGAACTAAATATTAGTGGTATAACAAAGTCCCTCAGTGACTAAAAGTGGACATGAAGAAAGAAAGAAGTGCCTTTTAAAAGTATTTAAATGTTTCTCTATTTGCAGTCATTATTCTGAAGAAATATATTCTAGTACCAAAGAAGTAAGACATACTTTTATGTGAATGCTGTTATTTACCTTTGGAAAACTAAAATATAATTTTAAACATTAAACCATTTTATCCACTTTGGACTCTTTTAGAAAACACTAGAAAATCATCATAGATAAAAATTACCAGTGTGTAAGTAATGCATTCTCAAGCTGAAAGAACTGGAGAGCAAATTAAAGCCTCTAGTTGCAATACTGAAGGATTCTATGGATAAAATGTTGAGTGATGTGGGAAGCATCAAAAGACGATGCAAGAAATATACAGCCACTGTACTAAAAAAAATTGCTTGACAATGGGCCATTTGAAGAAATAGCATATGATTAAAACTAACTTATACCTGATTTGTGCCACTATTAGAGCCTCTACTTGGAATATTATTGCTTTTTAATTTTTGACCCATGTACTTTTAACTTGTTAGTTAAATTTGTGTCTTCCAGGCTGCAACACTTCCATGATACATCTTCAAG